TTTCGACATAAGCATTCAATTCGAATGCACCTATAAAAGATCGTGAATGTATGTACGATAATCGGGACGACAAGCTATTAAAATTCATTTTAAGAAAGTATTCTTTTAACTCATAATTTTTTTGGTAGACATATTTTCCTTACTTGTTTAACCTTAATATACAAAACATTATAATTCTTATATTCACACAAACATATTGTTTCATATTGAAAAATTTTCGGTTGATGGTGTTCTCGAAAGCTTAGTTGCTGAAAAGTGTAGTGTTCGGGATATTTCGGGATTTTTTTTATTATGCTAAGGACTTTAAAAATTGATGTATGAAAAGAGTTTTTATTTCTGTGCGTACATGATTTTTTTCTCAAAAAAATATCAATATGAGTTAAGATTAACCCATTTGAATTACTAGTAAACAAGCTGGACTCGCTTTCAGTAACTGCGAGTACTCTCAGATCTGTACATTTACTTTTTTGATTTTGTGTTAGATTTTTTATTTACACCAAGATATTATTGTAAATGCAGAATGATAGTTTTTTAGTAATTTTGGAGGATGTCATTTCAGCGATTTGATCATATTTTATTGAAAAGCATGATAAATGCAGGTTATCCAATTTCATTTAACGACACCTTGGTGTAAATAGACAAATAAAATTGATAATGATTTATATCATATCAAATTGAGAACTGAACCTCATCTATGATTTGTACAGACGTCAATGATATTCAACTCATTTGAAGAAACAGTAGATTTGGAGTAAACGTCATTTTCAAAGTAGCATCGTCTTTAATGACCGAAGTACTTAATAACCTTTATATCATAGGTTTTGATAAATAAAATTTTATAGTGAGCCTCTTTTTTTCGAATACCCACTGTTTTATTAAAAGAAATAATATTAAATATCATTTTAAATACAGCTGGTTTTATAATCGATATTAATTTCATATAAAGCATGATGATTAGGTTTTAAATTGAGAACAAACCTCATATTTGGTTAAAATTCAACAGCACCTACAGGTGAAGCACCAGTTGAAATTTATTAATCCTTTTGGGATGTATGAGTTCAAGTGAACAGTGCAACCAACGGATTTGTAATGCTAACACATAAATATTTGATAACTAAAATATACATAATTTATGCATTTTGTCGATCTTATGAGTGAAGCCCATTTTCAACTGTTTCTTTGTTTTAATGTAGTGCTATTACACCACTATCCGAGGTTATTGGAGGGTCGGGCACCCGAAAACATGTTTAATATAAATATGAAGATGTGGTATGAGTGCCAATGAGACAACTCTCCATCCAAGTCACAATGGATAAAAAGTTAACAATTATAGGTCAATGTACGGCCTTCAACACGGAGTCTTGGCTCACACCGAACAGCAAGCTATAAAAGGCCCCAAAATGACTAGTTTAAAACAATTCAAACAGGAAAACCAACGGTCTAATCTATATAAAAAACGAGAAACGAAAAACACCTATGAACCACACCAACAAACGATTTGTAACATTACAACATAAAAAGACACACTATAAAATATCAATTGAAATGGCTTAACTCGATCAAAAAGACATTTAAACAAAAACAAGTAAATATACACTGAACGAATAAGTTTGATCTTTGACACAATATGAATACAATATTAAGACGTATAGGTGCCTATATAACATAGACGTTACAGGAAGTAATGAAAAAGATGTAACTCCGCTTCATTCTGTATGAGCTTGTCTTAAGTCAGGAGCCAGTAATTTTGTGGTTGTCGTTTGTTTCTGTATTTGATATTTGGTTTTTGTTTATTGTTTTTTAACATAAATCAAGCCGTTAGTTTTCTCGTTTGAATTATTTTATAGTTGTCACGTCGGGCTCTTTTATAGCTTGCTATGTGGTATGGGTTTTGCTCATTATCATTAAGTTTAGCATTATGACTATATCATCTCAGTGTATTTGTAGTAGGGATCAGTCTGATTCTTCACAAAGTAATATTTCTCATAACTTACAAGGACTCTGTATATACAATCCTCTCTTTGTATAAAATGCACTGTTTAATGAGAAGATGCAGTCGATCTTTCAATTGTGCATAAGTAATAGTTGTATCGTCAGCAAGCCATGTGTTACTTATTGAGAAATAATTTACTCAACATATGTATTCATCTTTGAAGTTATCATCGTGGTCTATATGCTGACATGCCATTCGGTAGTCTAATGGATTTATACTATGCCTAGTCATCTAGAAATAGGGTTCCATCTGAAAACGATTTCATTGTTTAGATTTCTTCTACGTATACTTGGTCATTAGTGTGTTTTACATCAATGGTGAAACAGGAGGGCGTTTTGGGCTCTTATATAAACACTCTGTCTAGGGTTCTCTATACTTTATTTATATTCAGGAAATATAAAAATATAGCCCTGAAATAATAATAACAAATATATAGTAAGGTTATTAATCATCACAGTTACATATAAAGTAATCACATATTTGTATGTATAATAGTTGACGTTATTTAATAAATACAAAGACAAAATATCATAGCCAGAACAAACGTAAACGTAATAATAAGTATATGATCAACATTTTAATATAACTATCAAAAATTCTTAAATGGAACATTATATTAGAATATATCAAGATAATATTACTTAGAATTATACTCTGTGTATAGTAACAAGAGAGATCATCCTTTCTCAAATACATATTTTACACCACTATCAAATGTACCAAAGCATGTCAATAATATGCAAATTAATAGAGATGGTAAATAGTAGCCAATGAACAAATTATTGTTAATTAAAAGTTGCAAAAGTTTGGGTTAAGAATTATAAGAATTAAACACAATTATTCTAGTCTAAGAGGTTATCGATATGTAAAAATAATTGCGTCCGAATAATGGTATGGCGATGTCGTTGTCGTCCGAAGACATTTGGTTTCCGGACAATAACTTGAGTATAAATGTATAGAACTCTATGACATTGTACCACAAATGTTCTATACCACAAAAGGAAGGTTTGGATTGATTGTAGGAGTTATTGTCTTGACTGTTTGGAATTAGGGGCAACAAAGTGGCCAAAAAACAAGAATTTTCTAGTTTCCAGACAATAAATTGAGTACAAGTTTATGGATCTCTATGAAATTTTACCACAAGTTTCCATACCTAAAAAAAAACTGGGTTTGATTTTTGGGTTTTTGGCCCTAGTCGTGTAGGAATTAGGAATCAAAAAGTGGCCAAAAACAATACTTTTCTAATACTTTGTGTAAATTGGATATTTCTTGACATATTTCAATGGTGTTTAATTCAAAGTCTTTAATTATTATATGCCAAATCCAACCGTGTATTTGGATATTTAATTTTGGGACCCATTTTCAAATTGTCCATATTAAGTTCCAAAGGGTCCAAAACTAAACTTTGTTTGATTTCAACAAAAATTAAATCTATGTGATTCTTTGATATGCTGATTCTAACCCTTTATTTAGATTTTTGATTTTGGGCCCGGTTTTCAAATTTGTCTACGTTAAGGTCCAAAGAGTCCAAAATTAAACTAAATTTGGTTTTAACAAAAAATGAATTCTTGGGGTTCCTTGATATGCTTAATCTAAACATGTATTTAGATTTTTGATTTTGGAATCAGTTTTCAAGTTGGTTCAAATCGGGGTCCAAAATTAATCTTTTGGTTTCATTTCAACAAAAATTGAATACATGGAGTTCTTTGATATACTGAATCTAACCTTGCATTTAGATTTTGGATTTTGGGTCCCGTTATCAAATTGGTTCACACTGAGGTCCAAATTGTCCAACATTTAACTTTTTTTTATATCATCAAAAATTGAATGTTTGAATCAATGCAAAAATATTGACTTCATTTGTATTTTTAATTGCATATTTCTTCACAACGACATATAACACGCATAAAATTTGGCACACACGTGAACTGTGTATTATTGCTTTTATCAGAATAAAACATCTTGTGATGATATACACGTAATAATTTTGCTTTTGATGAAAATGTGGTTCATTTCGGGTAAAATTTTAGTCTTATTAAAACGCTGAAATATTTATACTAAATTTACATAGATATTTTCCGCTTTCGTTTTATGATATATTTACTATATAAAGTATTATTTCAACCACCAGCAATGAGCGCAATAATTTTATGTTTCTTGTTAAAGATTCCCCTTACAATACGGTATATGGGGTACCCTGTAAAAACACGTTATTTAGAAAATCGTGACCACGGGAAGGTACCAAATGACGACGACACTCATACTTGTAAATTATAATGATTTTCCTATAATTTGCAAATAGAATTAGCTGTGTGTTATTCTGTTATCCTAAACTCGTTAACTAGAGGCCATTTTTACACTGGGCACCCTACTATTAGATAAACCTTTTCAGGTGCAGTTCGACAAGCTCTAATTTAAGTTCTCATTGTATTGTGTTAAATAGTAGTCCATGCAGGACATCTCTGAAATGTAAGTAAAAAATGTCAGTATTTTGGCTAATTTATCAAACCGATTATTTGATATATGTAAGGGAAGATTTTCCAAAATGAATGACGCCACTTAACCTTTCATTGAAAACAAAACTTTTCTGGCTCTTTTACTAGATCTTCGTAGCCTTAATTAAGAGTAACATTACTACTTATATGAGTTTATCAAAAGAATGCTTCTGATTCATTCGTTTTGTATAATAGTGTCATTATGGTTAAGAAATGGAGCAATACTAGATTACCTCTTCGTTGTTAATTTATCATGGTTTTTGTTTTATGTATATGTAAAGTTAGTTACAATTTGTCCGCAGAACTTTAAATTTAAATTAATTTAATAAATGTATTAATAATACTATGTTGCGGTCCTTCTCTAATAAATTAGAAAAAATAAAAACTGAAAAGATTTTTTTATCAAGCTTTTCATGAGTCCCTTTGCATCCTCTGGTCGAAAAAAAATCATACATAGTGTTGATATTTTCCAACAACAGTTGTTAGTATTCATGTGGTTATTATTTTTTTAGGCAACTCATCTCCTGGAGACAGTTTAGGAGGTAGGTAAATTTATTTGTATTAATATTATTTAATTGCTTAAACTTATATTTCTATCTTGATATATTTTATTTTATATGAATATGCACGAATTAGCTCTTGAACTTGAATTTAATGACCACCATCATTTTTCTTACAAAAATCGCCGTTTTCTTTGTTGATGTGTTATTCATTTGTCTGACACACACTATAAGGTCGTTCTAGCTGAACTCAAAATGCCTTGAATCATCATGGGATGATTATTCAGAAATTTATTTCATAACTACGTTTTCCATCAAATATATTGCGATCGTTACTATAAAAAACTAATCGTTTTATAGTCAATTTTAATTGTTGCTTTGAACAAATGTTTACAAATCAGGATATAGTCGAAATGTGTATATGGAGGTCTGTGGCTCTTCGAAATCTATTCAGAATTTTAAGTTGGATTATGAATTTAGTTTCGAAGTAAATAAAGTACCAATTGTAGATTTAAGTTCGAATTACCGAGCTTAATTCAACAAGAATAATTCTGAATTCTCTAGTGACCTGTAATCTTTCGACATATTTAGTCATCAATTGTTCAGATCATCTGTCCGTAGAAATTGAGAAAGAGGACCGAGTGAAAATCAATTCAATAACCACAGTATTACAAAAAAGAAAAATAACGAACAAACAACAGTCCAAAAACAAAACAAACCCCATCAAAACATTAAAAGGAAATCGGGTGCTCCAGAAGGGTATTTTTAAAAGCAACACAAAAGGTACAATTAATGGAGCATAAACCTACACGATCATTTTGTCTGTTTAGTTTCTCTCTTTCTTTTTTAATTTTTGCTCAAAACACAAAAGAGGGTAAAAAATTCCTCATTTAGGGGGCAATCACTCCTATGAAGAGTGACAGTCTACTAACTATATCGACAACATTTGACTTGTTTGCGGATCTTGTCTTACTGATCATTTTTGTTTTTAAAAGTTTCTATTTATCTATTATAATTTTTATCATATAAGGTTAAACGAAAAAAAACGTCATTAAAGGGCAATAACTCCAATAAGGAGTCGTAGGAAAATTACCTCCATTTTATCTTAAATGTAGATCTTGCTGATAATTTTTGCTTGTTTCAGTTTCTACCTATCTATTATAATTTTCAAGATATAAGGCAAAAACGCAAACAAAATTGGTAAAAATCATTTTCAAAGGGCAATAACCTTTAATTAGGAGTCGAATGACGATTTCAACCATACATACTTATTTGTAGATCTTGTCTTGCTGATCATTCTTGCAACTTAAGTTGCTCTCTATCTATTATAGTTTTCAAGATAAAAGCCAAAAATGACAAAAAATGGTAAAATTTAAGGGCAATAACTCCTATAAGAAGTCGCCTGACTGTTTTGACGTCAATGAACAATTGATAGAGCTCAACATTCTGAACATTTTTGCCCTGTCAGAATTTCTCTATTTATAACGATTTTCAAAATAACTTGCATTTTACCCCTATGTTCTATTTTAGCCATGTCGGCCATCTTGGTTAGCGGGCTTGGTAATCGGACAAATTTTTAAACTAGATATCCCAATGATGATAGTGGCCAAGTTTGATTAAATTTGGTCCAGTAGTTTCAGAGGAGAAGGAATTTGTAAAAGTTAACGGACGACGGAAGACAGACGATGAACGACGGACAACGTACGCCAAGTGATGACAAAAGGGCCAGGTGAACTAAAAATGCCAAACAACGTCATTAAAGAGTAATAACTCCCATACCAGTCCTCTTACATTTCAGCCATTTGACTTTTTTTGTAGATCCTGTCTTTGTCTGTCATATAAAAAATAAGGAGATGTGGTATGATTGCCAATGGGACAACTATCCACCAATGTTGGTTTGCAAGCGAGGTCACCCGACACATTTCTAAACTAGATACCCCAATAATGATTGTGGCCACGTTTGGTTAAATTTGGACCCGTAGTTTTAGAGGAGAAGATTTTGTAAGATATTAAGATATTTTAATTTTTTGTTGTTAAAATCGGCATTAAAGGGTAGTAATTCTAATAAGGAGTCATTAGACGATTTAGATCATTCTGACCTATTTGTAGATCTTGTCTTGCTGATCGTTTTTTTTCTAATCATTGTTTCTATCTATCTATTACAGTTTCTAAAAAGTAGGCAAAAATGAAAAAAAATTTATAAAATTTGACATTTAAGGTAGATGTTTAAATTAAAATCCATCGATTTGTTTAGGAGTTAGCCAAAATGTAGTTCATATGCTTTTAAAAAAAAAAATATAAAGTATGCGTCATGGAGCTGTTTTTCAAGCTACAGGTTGTGCAAAATTATCAGATTTTGTATGGATTATGCATGAAAAACCCAGAAATTAGAAAGAAAACTAAACGATAGCATTTAAAGATAAGATATAAGATAGCTCGTATAATGTGCTTTCTGAAAAATAAAAATTAACAAAAAATTGGGTAACGGGCCTCGTTTTCTTGCTACAAAACAAAACAGGCAAATCCTAACATATTCCTTTATGCAAGTTACATTATCTGAGCTATCTCCCCTTATTGGGCAAAGTGGATTTTTTTTTTTAAATCAAACAAAAAGATTCTGTATTTGTGAAAACAGTTATCAAAATAAGATAAAAGACAAAATGTTCTTCATTTACATGAACATTATTACAAATGTATTACATTCCTGTCTCAAAATTTGCACACTTCATTCTAGACCGATTATTTTCTGCTATTTAACAATCCAAGATGGCTGAAGACACCCAATCTTCCTCAAGGGCAATAACTCTCATAAGAAGTCGTTTGACAGTTTTGACTTTAGTTGACAGCGTGTAGATCTCAACATTATGAGCATTTCTGCCCCTTTCCCATTTTCTCCTTCATAGTGGATTTCAAGATAATAGACAAAACTTGGATTTTACCCATATGTTCTATTTTTAGCCATGTCGGCCATGATGATTGAAGCTTTAAAGAGTCAGTGGGGCTCACCTGCATCTTCAACAGTGGCCTTTTTAGGTCTTTCCATTTTTCCGTGGAAAGACCTATTGGTTTTCTTCTGATTAGGTCTTTCCACTTTTCCGTGGAAAGACCTATTGGTTTTCTTCTGATTATTATTAGGTCTTTCCACTTTTCCGTGGAAAGACCTATTGGTTTTCTTTTGATTATTATTAAGGTCTTTCCTTTTTTAATGGAAAGACCTTACTGTATTTCGTTTGTTTATTATTAGGTCTTTCCACTTTTCTGTGGAAAGACCTATTGTATTTGTTCTGATTATTAGGTCTTTCCACTTTTCTGTGGAAAGACCTATTGTTTTTGTTCTGATTATTAGGTCTTTCCACTTTTCTGTGGAAAGACCTATTGTTTTTGTTCTGATTATTATTATTATTTTCTTCCGCCAAATTTTATTTTCGCATAACATTTTTGTTTCGCAATATGTCGCTAAGATATTTCTTATATAGTATCATACAGTTTATGCGCTTTTTATTTTCACCCATTCTTAGCCGAACAATTTTCTTTGTAAGAGTTATCTCCCCAAACACTGTTTTCCTTGTGACTACATCTACTCCGTAACGGCAAAAGAAAGCGACAAATTTATTTTATAAAATTGCTCGTTATATCCTTCGCATGATTTGTCCTATTTTGACCGAAGCGATATGAACACTCCATATGAGAGTTATTTCCCCTTATGCATGTGATATAAGTAATATGCATTTCTAACTGGTAAACCATAAGTGATAGAGACCTAGGGTCTTTTGATTTGAGGTCCTTGGCCCAAAAAAATGAAAATAAGGTCAAGGTCACATTCTAAATTTTGATTTTGGCTTATTTTCACTTACTTCCAAAAACCGTACAAGATATTGACAAAATATTTTTACTAAATTGTAAGTTGGGACATGTCGTAACACATGAATTTTGGTTGAAAGGGTACGTTGACCGTAAAAGAGAGTTTTCTCCCTTTTTATATTTAAAATTACATGTATGGTGGTATAACTCATTTACCAAGTATAATAAAGACCTAGGATAATATGATTAACGGTCCTTGGTGTATGACCTTGAAATTGAGCTCAAGGTCAAAGTTAAATTTGATGTTCTAGATTTTGACCTTTGCTTTAACTTCATATTTAAACACGATAAAGCCATGGGACTTTTCTTTATTAGGTTGCAACTTACATGACCTTGAAAATCCAACCAGAAGTGACCTTGTGTAAACCTGAAATAGCTTTGTTTTGTACTTATTTGATGTAAAGTGTATTGAGCAATATATTTTTGGAATCAGTATCAAGTTAACTATCAAATAAAAGCGGAAGTGACATATTTCAAACTGGAAGTAACAATTTATCTCCTTTATTTAGAAAAAAATGTATAGAAACCATATATTTTTGGAATCAGTTTACAATAAGCTATCATTTGACGCTGGATATGATATTTCAAACTGAATTTTCATAGTTCTATTTCAAAATTGGTCTGTATGGGTGGAAAGACCTTCAATTGTTCTCTGAACAATTGGTTTTTAATTATTATTATTTTCTTCCGCCAAATTTTATTCTCGCGTAACATTTTTGTTTCGCAATATGTCGCTAAGATATTTCTTATATAGTATCATACAGTTTATGCGCTTTTTATTTTCACCCATTCTAAGCCGAACAATTTTCTTTGTAAGAGTTATCTCCCCAAACACTGTTTTCCTTGTGACTACATCTACTCTGTAACGGCAAAAGAAAGCGACAAATTTATTTTATAAAATTGCTCGTTATATCCTTCGCATGATTTGTCCTATTTTGACCGAAGCGATAAGAACACTCCATATGAGAGTTATTTCCCCTTATGCATGTGATATAAGTAATATGCATTTCTAACTGGTAAACCATAAGTGATAGATACCTAGGGTCTTTTGATTTGAGGTCCTTGGTCCAAAAAAATAAAAATTAGGTCAAGGTCAAAGGTCAAGGTCACATTCTAAATTTTGATTTTGGCCTATTTTCACTTACTTCCAAAAACCGTACAAGATATCGACAAAATATTTT